AAAACGGGACAAGGACCCTTATTTGGGGCCTTGTCTTTTCCTAGACATTAGCCATTTCTCACTTTAAACCTGCGCCCACTCTTTTGCTGGCCAAAAGAGAACTTTAGACTTAGAGTCTATGGCATTTTTTAAAAAATGTTTATTTATTTTTGAGACAGAGAGAGACAGAGCATGAGCAGGGGAGGGGCAGAGAGAGAGGGAGGCACAGAAGCTGAAGCAGGCTCCAGGCTCTGAGCTGTCAGCACAGAGCCCAATGCGGGGCTCGAACTCACAAACTGTGAGATCATGACCTGAGCCAAAGTCGGACGCTTAACCGACTGAGCCACCCAGGCGCCCCAACAACATCTTTTTATACATCATAAATTAGCTGCACATATTATTCCAGAGAGAATTGAATCATGTGAAATTTTTTAAACATTCAGATTTAATTTCAGTAACTCATTGAGAAAGAAAAGCAGACGTGGTTTTTTGTGTATATATTGTGTGTGAACACACATGCATGCACATGAGTTCAAACAGGAATGAATCCATGCTGATTCATTTTACATTACCAGTAACACCTGATGGATTTCTATGATTTTTAATAACAAATGTCTTAGCTGTGTTTATGATTGGGGGTAGTTTTCCTCCATGAAGTTCAATTTGAAGTGGCAAAATTTTCAGTATCAGTTTTGTGGTTTCCAATACTAAAATCTGTCTAACAAAAAAGTAGCCTTGTTGGCATTATAATTGTTCAGATGTTAACTGTGTGCCTACATTGAGGTATCAGGCTATTGATGGTATTCAACGATCCTCTTACTCACTTATTAATCTAAGATTCTATTATAAGCTATTTTTTGAACATCATCCACAAAGACACTTTTCCCTGAGTAAGAAGGCACAATATTGGTATTTGTTGATGGAGGGGGGGCTTTCATGACTAAATCCCCTGACATTCATTTGTACATGATCAGTTAGTTGGGAAGCATGACAACAATTGGATCTCCAAAACTGTTAGGTGCTTTGAAAGATATGGGAACATCCTTATACTAGAATTATAATTATATATGTAAATACTATGATTATACACCTATGGAGGTAGGAGCAGTTGTGTTCCCCCACTGTTACTGCATAAGCAGTGAACTTGAGGTCAGAGTCCCTGAAGTTTTCATGCAGCAGATCCTCTAGCCAGTTTCAAGATGAATGAAAATTGTAGGATCTCCACAGAGGGGGGAATGATGTATCATTGATCTTCCCAACACTAGAAGACAGTTTACTCTAAGAAAGAGTTGATATACAGGGAAACCACTGGCCTGCAATGAAGGAATCCCTATCTTGTACCAGCTCTTTTCTCTAGGTTAAGGTTCTTAAGCTGATGAGGGAGGTAGTAGTGAGGAGGAGGTTGTGGAAGGGTAGTCAAACATTTGCATTGAAATGGAAAGCAATTTTATTCCAGGAAACATGAAGGTGCAGGGTGGGCTTCAATCTCAGTGTTTTCCTATCCCATTCCATTCTCCCCAGAAAGGCCAATGAGTTGAACTTCAAATAACCAGTAGATTCTCATAGGTGCTTCTACTTCCCAAGAAATCCCACCAGTCCACCAGACTCAGATTCAAATTGACCCAACAGTGTCAAGCCAGTGTGGATAACTGCTACCAGATGGGGTTAAACTATAGTCAGATTTGGCTCCTACACCCCTCGGAGTTGGGCAGCAAAGGGCACAGGCTTCCTATGATCATTACATTAAGCTGTAAATAATGCAACACTTCATATCATGTGATTGACTATTTGGTACCCTTCTTATCGTGTTATGGTGGGGGGGAGGTCGTACTACCAGAGCAGGCCTGCTTAGCCAACAACAACAAAAAAACCCTTAGTGGCCTTTCTCCTCTAGAGCAGAGAAAGAACTTAAAGTCTCCTCAGTACTCTTTAAACTTCAATAAACAAAGATGGTGAGAGGAAACATATGGAAGTAAGCAATATGGTTCCAAACTAGAAGACCTAAAGTCTGTGGTGAGCCAGCTAGAAATACTGTGAAATACAACACAACTTTTACAAGACCAGATGAGTAGCAGAATGGTAATGTGTAGGAATAACTGAGAAGTTCCTTATTGAACAAGAATTTGAATGGACTCAAGAATTTTAGTGGAAATGAACCGAAGAGAAAGTGAAAACATTTTAGATAAACTAAAGCAGGGCCATGGTTTCAGTTTGTTTCTTCATTAGGCTTTTAAAAATTCTGGCCTTGGTTTTTCATTAGGCTACAATGAATATTTGGATGTACAGAAATTTCTTTGGGACAGAATAGTTAGATGCCCTTTCCATTTTTTTTTTTTTGTTCTCCACTGCAGGTAGTTCTCAAGAAGAAACTTTTTAGAAATAATAGATGTTCAGAAAATATTTTCCAGTCTTTGCTTCACTACATTCTTTTTGCTTCCCAGTACAGCCTTTCCTCCTAAAAACAGTTTCACTAAGCACACACAGCCAGGAAAAGGCAATCTAATATGACTCAATAGAACAACTGAGGACAAGGATATTGGCCTGTTTAAACAAGTGAACTGAAATAAGATGTAGGTTCATATTTGTTTGGAAAGAACCAAACCAAAGGAAGCTTTGCAAACACCAGCCTAGTTCCTGAATTTTGATTTGCACTATGACTCTACTTCAATGACTGCAGTTGGAAATTTGAAAATAAAAACTCAGTGACAATTGACAAAGTCAAAATGCTTTTATTTATACTGAAGTTAGCAAGTACATTTTTAACAAAGAAGGTGTACTTCAACTTAATATATGATAGAACCATACATGTTTCTAATCTCTAACACACTACTGCATTTTTCCCCTTAAAATACAAAAAGCCAAGCTGAATTGAGCATAGAAAAGCATCAAATATGGTCAGGTTACTTTACCCATTAGTACTTAGCTCATATTCTTAAACTGATCAATTGAATGCAAGGACAAAGTTACATCATTGCATTTAAACTGTACACATGTTCATTTTTTAAAATGTAATATAGATTGAATAAATGCTTCAGTAAACAAAGCTTTGCTATAAACACAATTGAAATAACTCCATGTTTAATAGTTTCAGAGATAAACTGGAATCAGAAGCATCTTCATTTATGTAAAGCCAGCGAGGACCTTTCATGCTGAATAAAACTGTTATGCCATTGCTAAACAGTAATAGCTACCTCCTTAAAAAAACAAGTTAGTTCTTCTGAGAAATAATTCTCATATGTGCTTAAAAATACTGAACTTCTATTTTCAGGAATCCAAATAATCTGATGTAAGAGACTTGATTTAGTATCGGTAAAATTTAAAATTTCTTAACATTTCTATAGGTAAAGTGTCAGTTTTTAAAGATCTTTCAAGTTTTTTGCTATAGTGTCTCCACTTCCCACAGCACTGAAGACCTTGAAGACTGATAAGACTAATTTCATAAACTGTGATATTTATAGTAATCCACATTAATTTTGCTTTTTGTACATAATGGTATGTTTGAGATCCCTATGGTTTGCCACAACAAGGAAGAAGGAGTGTATGGTTATCATCTAAGGTAATGATAGCATTGTACATTTATAACTTGCCCTCCTCAGCTTAACCCTGAAACTGTGTATACTGCATGAAGGCAGACTAATTATGAGTATCAATTTAACCACGTGTTTGGTCAAACCAGTACCTACTTAAATGTTGACAATCATAAGAATCCATACCATCCATATTTGTTTCTGTGGATAAAAATTATATTTGGAAACAATTTTCAAACAGCAATTCTACCTCTTTTTGTGTAACCTTGCTCTCTTCCATAGCCATGGCTTATGGGCTGAGTCTCTATCCAGCTACCTCATAACAATTCACCTTTTGTCACAAAAGAAGAATCAGGAAAGAAAGTATGGATGTACAAATCCATCACCCATGCTTAAGAAACACCTAAAGTCTGTGTTTGTGAGTCAAATGTATCAACTTCACACATAAGAGAGAGTACATTATCATTGTTGGACTGATATTTCTAGTCTAAAATATTAATTCAGTCTAGTCAAAGTTTAGCATTGCCAGGAGGAAAATATACACTTTTTATGCCTTGTGTATAAAATATTTAAAATATTTATTCTTTCTTTATAGAGGTATTGTGGTGAGTCGCTGGAATTTTCTGGATAATACCTCAGAACCAAAAATAAAGGTATGATAAGGTAAGAGAATAATAAAAGTCTGTGTTAGATGATCTAGAGGGTCAAACTTCATTAAACGGCAACCAGATATTTTGCCAAAGAGTCTGTGGAATTCACCTGTTTTTCCTAGGACCAGAAGAAAAATAGGTTGAATTTGGGGGAATTGTTAAGTAGTCTGTCAGCCTGGAGAATTGCTTAGATAGCTTTGTGGCATCTGAGCACAGATATTTGATAAAATTAACCAGATATCTGCTCAATTTTCCATTCTACCTCATCTTCTGTACACACAGCTTAAAGGTCAAAGGAAAGCTCTTCAGCCTCAAGTGGAAAACGGTCATTTTATCAGGATTGAATTTTATACAATGTAGCTAAAGCTTAAATCATGCAATATAAATTGTGAACATTACAAACATGAAAGCAATGGCAAAACAAAATAATATTTTATAGAAAAGGTCCATAAACCCAGTAACAAATGGTAAAAAGCAATCACCATTTACCCTTTAGAAAAATGGTTTCTTAAAAACCTCTTTTCTTTATTATGTTTAATTACTGCCTTTATAAAAACAGACAAACATATCTGCCCACAACCTTCATTAAAAGTGCTGGTTTACAAGACCTATCAGGAACTATTTCCACAGCAGCTCAAATCCAAAGAAAAACTAGGCTAACAAGAAGAAGACAGTATTAATATGAATCAATGTTTCTACCCAGAATACAATAAATTAAGATTTCATAGTAGTAAAATTTTTCTCCTAATTTGGAGGAGAGTATCAAAATAGATTCTTGTGCAGCATGCGGTATAATGCTGACACAGATTCTGCTATTGTTTTACATATACCAATACTGAGTGATCATCAGGAAAAAGCCAACATTGACCTGCTAACTGACACTGATCCTTGGAACAATCTCAAAGTTTGCCACATTTCAATTTCAAAATACATTTTAGCTATAATGAGTGATTTATCATTTAGTAGTAGCTGTCAAAGTAAACTCCTAGATAAAAGAAAACATCTGGAACCATAAATAGAGGAGAGCAAAAGCTGAATTTCAATCCAAACCCAGCATGCTCACTTCATTAGGAACAGGAAACAGCTAATTAGTAATTAAATGTCTCATGTTTTTAACAGGATTTGTACTTGGCTTCCAAAAGAAATGCTATAATATGCACCCTAGATATAAATAAGATTAAAGATCAGGAAAAGCAACCAACAAAACCTCTCTAGAGGAATGTTATGGAGATTGGAAATTTATAAGGAGTGATACACAATGACATTTGGGAAGAGCTGACACAGTTTATTCCATTAAGATTTACCAGATAAGTAAAAGGGTGAATGTGATATACACAAATGTGACCATTAAAAAATTGGCCCATATAGTCCTTCCCTTAGTACAGCACTGCCTGACATGGACATGCACCATGGCACAAGAGTCTGAATATGAGCTTCTGCTTATCAGTTATGTTTAAAAGGCCACACCAAGTTGTTACAAACTCAGAAAGTGTGAGATTGGCCTTCTGTGTCACACATCTTAAACTTATGAAAGGAAAAAGCTAAAATCAGGTGTTACAAAAAAGGCAAATATGTGGGAAAGGACTAGAACAAAACATATGAGGATTTATTATAGTTCAATCAAAATGAATTAAACATATCTATTTGTAAAAAGACGCTAGTTTGTTTTTATGCTGTTTGACTATCAAATAATGAGACATTTCTGGATGTTATATTTTTAGTCATACCTTTTTGTTATTCAATTCAGACATTTGATATTAAAACAAGTTTTAAAAATTTTATTTGCCTCTGTCCATGACTTATTTCTGATCTTATTTCACTGAATTAGGTTAAAATAGCACACCTACTCTACACAAGTAGACCTTCTACAGTCTATCAAGAGCACAAGAAGCCAAATTCCTGTGTCTTAGAAGAAATTTTTTCGGAGTATGGAATGACTAAAATGTCACATTAATATTAATTAATGTAACATTTTAAAATGTGTAGAGTAGGTGGTCATTACAGCAGAAATTGCATGTACTTCCACAGGGAACTGATTATTGGAGAATGTATTAAAAACAGAATTGGCCTTTTACATAAGAGTGGTGCTTTTGTCACATCAGAATTTAATTCTAGGCAGTTGTAAAAATAACATAACAGATTAGATTTTGTTTGGTGTAAGGAGGGCATTATAGGATGAGACATTAAAAATTTTTGATCACTAGATGCCACTTAACACATTGGAATACTGCTTTATTAGATTCTTAAGAGGCATGGACGTAATGATGACAAGTATTGCCACCATAATGATGACAGGTCTTTAGTCATGTCTCCATTAAGTAAATGGTTAAAAATATTTGAGGGAATTTCCTGGACAATTCAGACAAATGACCCATTTGGTTCTAATTACTGGAACATCTTAGGCATCTGGTCATATCTAGATCAGGAGGTGAACAACGGAAAATAATGATGTTACCGATCCATCATGTCTGCCTTTTTCCTTTCTTATGTCTATACATTTTTCAGTCTGGTTAGTTGTTGATTACTTAATAAAGAGGTAGCAGGATTGGAGATAGGAGGAGAGTAGAAAAGAATAAAAGGGGTATTTTTAGTAGCTTGGCTATATTTTTTATTATTGCCTTCTTTACAAATAATGAATGTGCTCGTAGAGATTTAATGATTTGCTTTACATTAACAGATCAAAGGAAGAACTAGGTATGGTAAAATCTACAAACTAGATCTGTCTATATTCCCTTGGAGAACACTACAGGTAACGTGCTTTTTGTTTGTTTCTGTCTTTTTTTTTAAGAAAAGTGAGCCCCAAAGCAGTGATAACAAATATTGGTCATTTGCACAAGTGCGTTATCTCCTCACACACTTCCTATTAAATCCCAGGTCAGGCAAATATAAAGCTATTTCATAGTAATGACAGCTTAAGTGGGTCTACATTTAAATTTCTGTCACACCATTTAGAAATAGCATTTTCTCTGTCTTAAAAATTCTAGCACCTACTTACCCCACTAGGATGCTGTGTGGATTACTGTGATAACGTTTATGAAGCACTATGAGCTCCATGGAAGAAAGGGGTTATAGAAGTGTAAAGTATCATGTTCTATCATCATTATGATTATTCCTTAAAAACTTGTGAAGCCCATTCTCTAGCACATTTTTCCTGTACGTGCAAGGTTCTATTTATCAGTAATGAACAAATAGTAATTGAAGGTTCCATATTTTAAGAATTTGAGTATTAATTCTAAAGAATTACAGCACTAGACAAGCAGGTAACTTTTACAGCACTCTATTCGTGCTTATGATCAGTTGGAGTTCCGTCATCAGTGTTCAGGCTGCACAGAAAAAACAATAAGACCTGGTCAAAATTTCATTACAACAAAGAAAACCTAAAATCTATTCAATGAACTTCACTGAAAACCACAAACTGGCTTTACAGTATTTTTTTGTGCTATATATGTTCAAGAATTTAATAAATCTCTGTGCAATAAATCTATTATTTTATTAGGCTTATCCCTTAAACATATATTCATTCATGTGAGTTTCATTCTATTAAAAACAAAATTACACAAAGGTCAGCAAAACTGTAGATTTACAGTAGTGTAAAATTTAATCATATTCTCTACAGGTGATATCGACAATATAAAAATAGTATAAATTATATTTCCTAACTCTAAAATATCCTTATGAGCCCCTTGTGCATGTGCTACATCTTTACAACCTGCAGTGAAATGAATTACTAGCTTAATAAGCAAGGCATTTAGAAAGATTTTCCCCCCTTTATAATATAAAATGTGAATATAGATCCACACCATTTTCTCTGTGCCAAAATCTTTACTAATAATTGCAATTTCATGAGATTTCCTTCCCTGACAGATGGTGATTTATAAGTAACTTCTCATTGTGTATTTATTTAATTTTTTTATTTGAGTATAATTGGCACACAATGTTACAGTAGCTTCAGGTGTAAAACATAGTGATTCAACATCTTTATATATTGTGCTATGCTCACCACAAGTGTAGCTACCATCTGTCACCATACAAGGCTATTACAATATCATTGACTGTATTCTTTTTTCTGTGCCTTTTATTCTTGTGACTCATTCATTCCATAACTAGAAGCCTATATTTTCAGGAAGCAAAGATGAAAGCCAAGAAATGAGTCTATTATGTTTTTGAATATTGAATTTATGTTTAGAGAAAAAATATTTTTCTTACCCAGGGTTCATGTTTTCTTCCAAGTGTTTCCTCACCACTTAGTCACTCATATAAACAATGGGATTAAGGAGTGAACTTGTGATGAGCACCAGGTGTTGTATGTAATTGTTGAATCACTAAATTGTATACCTGAAACTAATATTATACAGTGTATTATTAACTAACTGGAATTTAAATAAAAACTTAAAAAAAACATGGGATTTTCTTAAGAACTGATAGGCTTCATCATAGGCATAGTTTGGGCTATGAAACATTTATTTTGGGGTAGTTACCTTATTTTTTTTCTTTTTTTAAGTTTATTTATTTTGAGAAAGAGAGAGTGCACACGGGCATGAGTGAGGGAGGGGCAGGGACAGAGAGGGAGAGACAGAATCCTAAACAGGCTCTGTGTTGTCAGCACAGAGCCTGACATAGGGCTCAATCTCATGAACTGTGAGATCATGACATGAGCGAAGATCAAGAGTTGGCTGCTTAACCGACTGAGCCACCCAGGTTAGCTACATTATTCATGAATTAATGGCAATGTTTTATAAATGATTTCTCCAACTAAGTATTTAGTTTCATGTTTTATTTAAGTTGTTTAATTAATGGGCACTATATTATTTGGCACTAAATAAGGTCACATCTGAAAGGCCATGTTTTCCAAACCTGAATAAGAGAGAGATAAAACACTGTGCTGGTGAATGTTCCACTTCAGTCTTAGGTTCAACCCAAATTAAATATTCAATTAATTGTATGAGATCTACTTAAATTGTGGAAATTTGTTCAGAATGTGGCATTCCCAAATCAAATAAGTGATAATAGTTTAGGGTCCAGTTTGTCATTAGTACAGTAGTAAAAATACAGAGCTACTAATCTGAAAGTAGGGAAAGTACACTAATGTAAGACATGGGAAGATAATAAAATAGTATAACATTTTATTACTTTTTGTCTAGAAAAAGCATTGCTTTAGAGTCATCTTTAGCAGTATCTGGTGTTGATTTTATAATGTGGTATTTTAAAAAATGGAAGTCTCTTAGTAACCACTTGGCTTTATTAGCCCCCCCCCCAAATTTCTGATATATGCTTTAATCAAAACAAAGATCAGTATAGGCTGTCTTTTCTTACGCACAGTGGAATATCAACCTCTCTTGCTCACTTTTAACTCACTTTGTTTTTTTAATTAATTCTTTAATATACCTTTTTCCCCTTTATTTAATTTCTAGTCCTTGTAAGACCAACCTTAAAAGGTGATTTATTTCATTCATTCAAATATTAACTCATTTATTCATTTTTTTATTAAGCACCTGCTACATAAGGCACAGTACTTGGTGTTCAATATATGGTTATTCTAATATGAGGATAAATTATAAAAATATATTTGCCATAACTATATACTGAAGAGAATGTTTTAAAGCAAGTTTTACACATCAGATTTATGCTGAATATTTCACTCTTACTAAAATCTACACATGGAAACACAAATAACTTCATATATATTTTATAGGGCATAGTAATAATGATATCTTGTATTTGTCATACTTTCTGACAAGTATGGATCTAACTTTCTGATGAGGATGATTAGGCAAATATAATTAATATTTTACTAAAATTAAGGCAGAGAGAGGTTGAATGACTCTTCAAGGTTAGTAACCGAGTTAGAGAGTAAATAATTCTGACTACTAGATAGTGCTCTTCCTACTACTTCATTGTGTCTCCCACAGACCAGTTATAAAATGTCAATAAAATCACATGTGTCCAGTACACAGACCTGCAACTGTTGAGCCAGACTAAGATCTAGATGTACTTAAATTCTACTTTCCTGCAGAGAAGAGAAACAAAAAGAAAAAAGAATAAATAAAAACTAGTATCTATGGAACATTGATTGTTAGGAAACATACTAAGTCATTCTAAGCACTTGTTTCACATGTAGAATTCCAGATTCTTTCACTACTTATTATAGATAATTCCATGATGAAAAGTGGTAAGTTGTTTATGTTTCTATGTCATTCCTCTAAAAATCTAAAATTAATTATATCACCCACCTTTCATAAGTAAATAAGGTATAAAATGTTTTGTAAAGGTCAAATTTATTTGAGTTTTGTTTAGGATGTATATTGCAGATATTTTAATGTAATACTTAAAAGTACAATTAAGGGGTACCTGGACAGCTCAGTTGTTTAAGCACCCAAGTCTTGATTTCAGCTCAGGTCATGATCTCATAATTGGGAGATCGGTTCTTTCTCTCCCTCTATCCCTTCCCCCTGCTCATGCTATATCTCTCTAAAAATAAGAAAAGTAAGAGTACAATTAAGTTCTTCTTTTATAACTTTTAAGTATTCCTTTTGTATGTTAAACTAATAGAAAAACACTAGAAATCCCTCATTTCAAAGGAATTAAAATGTTCACTCAAAATATGGAGGAAAATGAAAATGAAAGTAATGGGAAGACATTAATGTTTACTTGAACAACATTAAAAATGACCACATCCAACATTTTCCATAGAGGGTTGAAATACAGTTAGCAGGAGATTGTAAGATTTGAGTTGCAGGTTTTGCCTCACTCATTTTAAATGGTTACTCACCAATGCTGAGATCAACATGATATCCATTTGTATTTTTTAAAATTTATTTGTTGAGAGAGAGAGAGACAGAGAGAGAGAGAGAGAGAGAGAGAGAGAGAAACCAGGGGAGGTACACAGAATTCCAAGCATACTCTGTGCTGTCAGCACAGAGCCTAATGAGGGGCTCAATTCTACCAACTGTGAGATCATGACCTGTGCCAAGATCATGACCTGAGCTGAGGTCACGAGTGTGATGCTTAACTGACTGAGCCACCCAGCAGCCCCCATTTGTAACCTTTTTAAAGAAAATAAGAGGACTTAAACATTTATGGTGCAATAGGGAAATAGTGAAGGAATGCTTTAAAAATGCTGTTTTCTTAAAAGAGAAATTGGTGAAAATGTTGTCCAAATACCTATTTGCATTATTGAGGTAAAGTAGATTCCAGTTTCAGTATGCAGAATATTACTAATGTTAATTTTCAAACATTAAACAAGTGAATTATAAACTGTGGGGGTCATCAAATTAGGGGACTCCAAGGAGGTCTGTATAACATTCTAAAGAATGTTTCTCTTTGAAGTCACTTTAATTTCAAAAGTTGATTGTTATATGGCTATTATAAATGAGAAAGCAGTTCCCTATGGTGAGCAAATAAAACTTTATGCTAATGGCCCATGGTAAAGAATCTGGCCTAAAGTCACATAATAGAGGATCTGCTAGGGTCTTGTTCTGATAGGATGATGTAAGTTTTGCCACAAATTGAAAATTTTCTATTTCTACTTCAGCTTCCCTATACAGTTATAAATAGAAAAGGGAGCTATATGGTATTTGTGTAATTTTTATAAGTACTACCTCAATCTCTGCAGTTTTAAGGTAGAAGTGATTAATTATAGTTGGTTTTAGACTATTTTGGTTAAGTAACTACAAATGAGAGAAGCCTTCTTCCATCTAGATCCTGCTGCATTGTTTTGCATAGGATAATATTACAGTTAAGATATATATCCTAGTTAGCTGACTATGAGAGATTTTTACAGTATAGGCTGAAAGTGATAATATCAATTTGAATTGATAATTAAAATAATGAGTGAGAGAGTTAAGATTGCTGTGTTTTAGAACCCATTATCAATAGAAAGCTAATTAGCTTTTCCTAGGCTATTTTCCTACTTATAAAATGGGGTTAGTCATACCTTGATTATTTATCACACAAGGATAATCCTGGTAGAGAATGTGTGTGTTAAAAATGTCACAAAGACAAAATCCTCTTTCTGATGGAATTGTTACTAAGCCTAGGCTTGCCACATTTTGAACAATGGAACAGATAAACTTAGCCAAGTCTAAATGAAACCCAAAGTTTTCAAAGGGAAGGGAGACGAAGGAACTGGGAAGGGAAACATCTTGAATGTATATATTATTTGAATTCCTGGATCCAGCCATACCTGAATCTATCCCTGGAAGTTTCAGTTAAGTCACCTAATAAGTTGTTTTCTTAAATTAAGCCCTCCCCCACTCGATCCCCAAAAAAGAAAAGAATGGCACAAAGTTCACCAGGCTATACAAATACTAGATCTTACCTTTCT